TGCAGCGCGGAGTGCCAGCCATGGGGCGGGGGAGGGGCTGCTGGCTCTAGGCTCACTTGTCGGGGTGTGCGCAGCGATAGCAGCTGCGTCCCCACCCCCGCCTGCCGCACCGGGCAGTGTTTGCCACTGTTGCCTCTGGGCTGCCCTGCACGCGAGCTCCTGGCAGGCAGCAGCAGCAAACACTGCCCAGAGTAGCAAGTGGGGGGGGCGGGGGGCTGCACCACGCACAGCCCCAACAGGTGAGTCCAGAGCCGGCACAGGGCCCAAGCTGGCAGCAGGGCCAGGTTTCAAGCTGGTGCTGAGCACGGGGAAAAGCAGCCCCTCGCTCGCACTGTGGCCAGCGCCCCACACTGTAGCCGCTTGCAGCCTGCATGGGGATGCCTGTGCCTGCTCCAGACAGCCCCGCATGGGCTGCGGGTGGCTGCGAGGGGTCGCTTTTCCCTGCAGTCAGCACCAGCTCCTTCCCTGCCGGGGAGCAGGAGGTCGGGGCTGTGCGCTGCCCCCTGCCTGTACTGCAGGGCTGGGGGGCACTGGGAGTGAGTGAGCGGGGAGCTAGCAAGACCAGGGCTGGGGCACCTGTCAAGGGGCAGGGATACCCATGCGGCCCTCGACAGCCTGCCAAAACTGGGTAAGCAGCCCTCCGCCCAAAATAATTGCCCGCCCCTGTCATACATTTTGGCTACACAATGGTTGTGTTGGGTATATGCATCATACTGAATTCACATAGCTATTTACTCACTGGCTGACCCTACACTACCAAAAATCCAAACCCTATAATTCTCCACTAGGGAAAACCATAGCACTGGCAGCACATTGGCAGTTTTACTACTATACTAGCTGACCCTACTTTGAACAGGGTCAAAGACCACTATGTTAAACACCTGCTTGCTGTCTACACAGCAGCCTCCACCACTGCCTCCATGGATGGTAATGAGTTATGGGTCTCATTTTTCCTAAGGTGGCAAGTTAATTATGGGTCAAAGCTTGGGCCTCCTCCTTGTGCTGTCAGAGACAGAATGAATGCATTTCTCCAGCAGTATGGACAAAGGGACTTGCTGTAATCATCATCAGGAAGTTGAACTATAGGTGTAGGCTGGAAGGTGTGTTGGGGCAATAGTTCAGTCTCTGCCTGGAATCACCAGCCAGTGTCCGCAGATGCACAAGTGCTATAAAGGTAACTGCAGCCCTGAGAACATGGTCAGAAGATGCTGCTGCTGCTCCAAGTTGGGAGTTTTTCTCCCCTTAGCCCAGCTGCTCAATCTGTACCTTGGAAACAGGATTCAGGGCCATACAGTTCTCACACACTATTGTGATTTGTATGGTTTGGGTTAGTAATTCAAGGGATTTAAAAATTGGATACTATTTCAACTGTTAAAAAAAAATTAATCTGCGTTCAAAGAGCTAATTCGGGACACTCCGGCCAAGCATACACTTCTCAGTGAGGAATTGCAAAACAAACAATCCGTATTTCACACACAAGGTACCCAGAGCAAATCCGTGAACAGTTGTGAATTTAAGCAGAAGAAAGCTGACAACCTTTTTTCAGCATATTTGATAAGCCACTGTGTTTTTTTTACGATATCACAAAAGTAGAAAGCAGGAGCAGCACTTCACTGAGTAGAAGAAATGTGAGAAGATACAAACCCCGACAACTCCGAATGCCAAAGAGCAGGTCTTCATTTTCTTGTCAGATCTTTCTCTAGAGACGTGTGTGTTAAATGCTTAATCCAAAATATTTACCTTAGAAACCTCAGTTCCCAGATTGTAATGGCACGGAGTTAATTAGCTCTATATAACAGTTGTTCTAGACCTCATAAATACTAATTACATCCACGTGCAAAATTCTGGTCAGTTCATGAGCTTTCAGGCTTGGATGTGTCCCCAGGAGCACTGAGCTCAGCAAAGCTGAGAGGAGAGGAAGGTGACTTTACAGGGGATCTTTCTACTACCCCCAGCCCAGGTCTATCAGCATCTGGAAAAGACCCCAAGTTAACTTTGGAGTAGCCTTTAAACTGCTCTAAACTATATCCACTGTGGCAGCCAGCTGTGCTGGCCTAGGGCAGTGCACAGCATCTGGCTCTGCTCATAGCTGCCTTTTTCTATGTAAACTGACAATGTGCCCTACGTGGATGGGATGTGGAAGGAAATGGATGGTATAAAGCCAATATACCTGACTCTACATTTTCTCACAACAGAGAAGATCCTTGCTAGCCTTATTAGGGTAGCTTCTTGGCTGTTTTGCACTGTATGAACACAGCAGAGCAGTCTCAACAGGGGCCGAGGCTCAAGTCTGTCGAACTGTCAGTTCTGTAATGCCCCATGATCACAGCACATGGGCAGAACTGCCTGTGTCCATTTGTGCAGACACACATGGGTTCCTAGGTATCGAATATTTGTTAGTTGGGGACATTTATCCATATCTCCCGTTCACAAACATATGCTAACAGAATGAGGGTATTTTCCATTTTATTGAAATGAGCCGTGGCCTACAATCTTTCCTTTCTAGAGTAAATGGAAAGTAAAGGCTTGGCAACCCCAGCGATTGCCAGGCTGGCTCATTCTGGTGTATATCAGAATGTGATGAGCTCAATTCTGGTCTCAGACGTGAGCCCACAACTCCAACTCCAGTCAGTGTGAGGTATACATATGCACTTGAGAGGAAATATTGGTCTTATTGGGGTTTCTTTCCCAAATCAAAGCCAGAGCAGCTGTGGTCTCCTTCCAATTTCATACATTTGCTTCAGAGCCTGCCAAGACATCATCCCCAATTCTTGAGGCTGTCAGGGAGTTTACCAAAAGCCAACTGTGCTCCAGGCTTGTGGAACACAAAATGCCCTACTGAGAACATAAAAGAAAATTCAAGGCCAGTCAGTACTGGAAGAGCAGATTAGTCTCCAGACTTGAAGGGTCTGAAGCAGAGCAAGGAGCCATTACCAAGATAGGAAATTTGTTTCATAATAGTCACACTAGAACTAAAAATTCTCCTTTTCCTAGAGACCTCATTGTACATTGAGACCTATCAATAACTGCACTAGAAATAACAACAAACTGAATCATACTTACCTAGCACACCTTTTTACCACTGCACCTCAACATTTCAGCAGACTGAAATTGTAAGTTAGAAGTGCTGTTGTGTTAAATGCATTTCTGCATCTTTTTAAAGTTAGCTTCCACCGTGGCATGACTCAGAAGGGAAGAGCTGGCGGTGGGGCTGCAGTTGTGCTTGCCAAGGACAAAGAGCAACAAGAAGACGAGAAGAGCTTTCTGCAGAAAGCAATGAAGCACGATCTGCCTTTAGCGGATTGACAGTTCCAAAGAAGGAGTCTGCATTAGTGGCAACCAAGCCTTAGAAATAAATACTATTTCATATATTTTGACAACTGTAACTTAAAACTTGAAGTTCTGTGTTTATATTGGTTTTGCTTAATAGGAGAAAGATTTGCCTTTGCCTGAGGTTAATAGTGTTCCTGGGTGGCTGAAGCTGGCCACAAGGAAACACACCCTTTTTCTTTTTCACATTAATAAAGCTTTTAACATGTTTCTGGCAAATTGGCAAGAGAAGTGCGTGTAACTCATAATTGGTGATTTAAATGCAATCATGAACAAATAAATGCCTGTTCAGATCTCATTATTTATGGACTGAACCTGCTTTAAGACAAAATTACTCTTTTTGGGCATCAGCCAAGCATAAACACTTATTAAGTCTTAATTTTAATCATAAGCCGCAAATGTACTGTGTCTCACACAGTGCTGTCTATTTGGAGGTACTATATATTATAGGAGCTTATGTGAATTTATGGAATCCTGACACAGTTCTAATGTAGAGGTTCATACACAGAATGGAACTTTTTTAACCTTGGGAGACAGCAAATCATCATCAGTTTGCAGGGCCCATGCATATAAATGAAAATAAAACAAAGAAATTAATTGTAGGAAGAAATGGAAATTTTTTCCTGTCTTTGGATTACAAAATAATTTCATTCTTCATTAATGAAGTGCTGTCTATAATCCTCCCAGCAGAATGTTCCCATCAGGTTTAAGAGGATGTTAAATATTATTGTGCCATAGAATGGCCGCAATACTTTGAACAATCAGAACAAAGTATGGGGTGACCTCAAAACAGCCTGCCTTACTGTTTTTGGGCTCTATCCTGCAAAATGCTAAGCATTCTGACCTTGATCCAAGAAAATACATAAGTATGGGCTTAACTTTAAAATAATAAAAGTCTTTATTTTCTTACTATCTGGACACCGTTTACACATATATATTTGCCTTGAAACCCAGAAAATCTAGTGCCTTTGGATGCCGAAAAAGAATGTGTGATTAGCTACATGGTGTGCTTTTCACCTAGCGATGAATTATTATTGAAGTGATGTCCCTTTGTTCATTGTTTTCTACCGTGATACCATGCATTTGAATGAATGTTTTTTAGTATTTGCTGATTATCCGCAAACAGAAGATATAACTTGCATTGTCAAACAAAACAGAAATTTAAGAGATTTCTACAAAATCTACTCAAAGTTGTACTACTGTAGTAAGGCTATTTAAAAACGAGTTCCAAGTGGATTTAATGCTGTATTTAATCTATTAGTGAATTTAATGGATATAAGGGTCCTATTGAAAGTACTCAAGTCCAGGACAAGTAGATCAGGAGCAGTGTCAGTGCAAACTTCTGTGAAATGTTCTTTACCCCTGTTTGGAAAGGACTGTTTCTTTGGATGGGAGGTCCATCTTCCACCCCCCTGTGGAAACTTCTAAGAAAGCTGTTAAATAATGGCAATTGTGGTAATGTGTTTGAAAGGCCAAGATGCCTCCACTAGGAACTGGACTGAGAACATAAATCAGATCCTACAGACCAAACTTCCACTAACATTTCAATATAAGTCTCATTCATGTACACCATCAACCTGGAGTCAAAAGCTGTGTACCACAATACCAATCACCTGAGCCATCCAAATGTCCCAATAAAATACTGCTCTACATTTCAGATGGAAATGCCTCCATCTGACTTTTCATCCATTAGCTAACTAGTCAAGCTCTAGTTCCCCCTTCCCAGTACTCAGGTAGGTGGCCTAGCAGAAGGGATTTAAAAGTCACATACACACATAGGGTTATCATTGGCAGCAAATATTTAAGGCTGCTTGCAGACGTTAAAAAAAATGCACCCCCCCCCCAAAAGTGCTTTACTTTAAACGTGGTGTGCTTCCACACTGAGACCAGCCCAGCACATGTGCAAAAGAGGCAGCACGTTAGTTTGATCTGGCTCAGCCAATGTCTGTATAAATTGGGTGCGTTAGTGGTGCTTTTTGGTGCTTTTATCAAATAGCTGATTGAATCAGCTTTAGGTAAAAGTGCAAGAAAGCCCTGCTGAAGTACCCAAACGCAGCAAAGCCAGGTTGAAGTAACACGTTGCTTCTTTCAGTATAGTGCAGTTTTTTGGTTTGGTGTTTTTTTTAAAACATCTGTAAGCAGCTTGTATCTCAGACAAAACCTAGGAGAGAAAGGTTTGTTATCAGACCATGATTTATGGTTCAATCATATCCCTGGCAGGTCTAATTAGAAGCCACAGTAGGCTCCTTTTGTCCCTCCTCAAACAGAATATTGGACACGGATTCTCCTCAAACAGATTATTTGAGATTTTTGTCCACTCAGAATGTCTAACTGAAGAAACAAAGCAGGTTAGATGTACCTCCTCTCTGTGCAACAGAGAGAAATATACTCCCTACCTCATCTGGGTCATTTGCTGGCATGGCTATTAGCCAACGGTCCTGAGCCACCTTCAGCAGCGAGCATCTGCAGAATCCCACACTATCCACGGAAATGGAATCTGTCACCACGTTCCTTCCTTCTGCCAAATCCCAGAGGCAGATCTTCTGATCACGACCCTGGCTTTTACCATCAAAAACAAATACGCTGTATACATTCACTTGCACGCAAGTGTTTTGAAAAAACAACAAACATTTAAAATGTAACAATTTGGTATCAGAGACAAGTGTTAGAAGAAAAAACATACAAAAAATGACCCACCTAAAACAGTTTTCTCCAAGAAACGCCAGGTGTATCATCACACGAACCAGACAAATAGCAATAATAAGACCATTTAGAAGAAGGAGGAAAAAACCCCCCGTACAAGTTCAATGTGATAGAGGTCACAAATACAAGGAGGTAAAAGCAAGGCTATACTTCACAGTTTACCTTTGGAGGGTTAACTAGAAAAAAATGGTTAAAAAAACCCAAAAAAACCCAACACTCCAGCTGTTTAAGTACTAGTGGAGTAGTTGTGGTTGTTCTTCCAGTCCGTAAACTGACACAGGACAATACTTTTGCCTTGGACTGAATTAATACATTTCATTACTTTCCTTTGAACTGTCACCTCATAAAGAGCCCCAAGTAATCCTCACCCATGCATTATATTTGTATTAACTGTATTTAATTGTTATTTATTTCACTTGACAGAAAGAGTAAGCCAAGCAAAGTCATGTATACATCTGTTGGCTGCAGGACTACAACATTCAAGAAGCCATCTGGACAACAATGGTCAACTTCTCCATAGTCTGTGAAAGCAAATGTCTAAAACATTTATAATACCAGAAAGATGACAGAAGAGGTGTTGGGGAAAACGGCACATTCTAGCTAACATTTAAATGCAGAAATATATAAAAAAAATACACACTGGACACTATGAGTGAAAATGTTATAAATATGCAGCAGAAAAAGGGAAAACAGCCTAATTATACAAACAATTTTAGCTGAACTCTAATTTTCAGGGGGGCAATAATTATACATAAGCAGACAACAAATAAAAATGCTAATGAGCCCGACAGTTCATTACAAGAGATGTCTTCTCATGATAAACATGTTAGAACACCTCGAAGTCGCACAGACGCTTTGGCATCTGCTCTGGAGAAAGCTTGATCACCCATCTAATCCAAAGTACACAGTTCCTTTGAAACCGCCCTCGCTGAATGAGAACATAATGTGTTTTGCAACAAAATAAACATATATAACGCAAATATTGGTTCATTTTTAGTGGATCCCAACCCACCATTCCTACTCTTTCTCTGCGTTCTCCAATCTTTTTCTTTTTCTACCTCTTGAAATCACTCATAACTTTGGTTTCAACAGTTCTTCCTTGCAAGGCAGTTCATATTTTTAGCACTCTTTTGGTAAAACAGTTGTGGAATGTTTGTCAACTTGGATCCAAATTCACTTTTTTTTTTTTTTTTAAACACAAAGTCACCTCACTATCATTCATATACCATTTAACAATAGTCATAAGCTGATGGAGAATAGGTTTAGCTTAGAGATCAGAAGGCAATATTTTACAGTTAGGGTGGCCAAAATCTGGAACCAACTTCCCAGGGAGGTGGTCCTCGCCCCTACCTTGGGCAAATTCAAGAGGAGGTTGGACGATCACCTGTCTGGGGTCTTGTGAACCCAGCATTCATTCCTGCCTGTGGCAGGGGGTCAGGCTAGATGATCTGTACAGGTCCCTCCTGACCCTAGTTACTATGAAACCAAAACACATCATGGACACTGAATCATGATGCTTTAGTTACAGAAAAGAACTGCTTGTTCAAGAACTCAATCATATTACTTTACATCTTGTGAACTTTTATTTGATTCTTTAGTTTACTTGTGTATTTCAAATTGTGTCCAACTTTGTGTACTTGGAGAGAAGACTTTCATTAATGTGAAAAATAAGCAACCCCTTAGTATAATATTAATGCAAATACCACAAGCTTCCCTCCTGTGCAACTACTCCACTAACCTGAGGAGCCCATCTCTGCCATGTATCGTCTCCACCCAGTATACAGATTTTCCTCCATGACCATCCATTGTCTTGTCCACCCTATGTGTTTTCAGGTTCCAGATCTGGACCAGACCATTGGCAGACCTGACAGAAGAAACAGATAGTGTTTTCTATGACAACCATCTAAAGTCCAGAATGAAATGTTGCTTCTCTGCTGCCTTTTCTGTCTTGGAAGTAGGTGTGTGCAGACACTGCAAGGACCATTTACTAGTGGGGCATTTTGTTCTTGTTTTTCTTAGATACAATTTACTTAAATAACGTGGTCTCTTCAAAGACAATGTTTGTAGGACGCCCAACTCTGCAACAGCTTCTGACAGAAGATTTGCTAGATGGCTTCTACTCACCCAGAGAAGAGAATAGGAAACTCAGGTTCTTGGCCTCTGCAGGAAAAGTGTAGAGTGTGGACTGGAGCTGCAGTTCCTCGCAATACAAACTCTGGATCAGGAGGCGGAAGAGCCATAGCAGCAATCATCCAGAAATAACTTTTAAAAAAAAAGACCCAAACCCAGAAAAAACAATGAAGCAAAAGATTTTCTTAATTCTAGTATGTCAAGAAGCACATTATGAACCCTCCAGTTCAGACATCTGCTTTTCTTAGAATTTACATTCTCCCCTTAGAACTCACATTATTTGGAGGCTTTGGTACAATGTAAAATGTCTCCTCTGGTTCTTACCAAACAAGAATCCATCAAATGCACTTCTTGTTGTAATGCACCCCTAAAAACTATGGCAAGCGCATAACTACAGCACATGATCTCATTATAGATTGGGGTGTGTGTGTGTGTATATATATATATATATATATATAAATGTATTCATTACTCTCCATGTTGCAAAGCGAACTGACAAGGGTGAGCTTTAAAATGAAGAAACTGGATACACAGGAATTTAGTGGCACAAGTGATTTAATAGCCCCTGGCTATTCTTTCCCCTTCCTCCTAAAACAGATCTTTCTACCTCTGCACTCTACACACCACCATTCAGAGACATGTGTGACACAGGAATTTATCTGCTGACAAGGATTTCAGATGAGATCAGAACTATAATAATTTTGGCACGAGAGTCTCATTATGCAGAAGTGCTCCAGCTTTTGTTCAAAAATGGTTATATACAAAAATTATGACAACTATGTTCAATACTGTATTTGCAGGCAACTCTATTCCTTAAAGGAAGGATAAAGGGATAGAGATCTTTCCACTTCTAGGTCTTATTCAAATATGGCCCCGTATCAGTAGAAATCAAAAGTCTTTCACAGACTAACCGACTGTGAAAAACAGAGTACCCCCATTTTTCAAATTGACAGTCACAGGCCACGACTGAGTGAGCCACATACATATGTGCATAACTTCATGCACAACTCATCATACTGACTTTGAAAAGGGCTGCTCATGTGATCCAGATAGGCACATTCTGAAATGTTTTGTTTGAATGAGGGCTCCATGAGGCCTGTTCACTGTGTAAAGACTCCCCAACATTTAAAAAAAAAAAGCACCTCTGTAGATAGATGGTAGGAAAACTATGTTGGAATTTGCTACAGATGAGCCTCCAGAACCCTGCTGAGGGATCATAATTTTTGTTTTTTAAATTATAAACTCTATGAAAAATTACCTGGAAAACAGCACTGTAGTGAGCATTTTTTTAAAGGCTTTCACTGCTTTTCTGCGAAATCAGTGGCAACAGCCATGACTTTATTACCTGCATTCAAAAAGTGAGCAGACTGAAAAGCCAGGGGAACTCATGAGAGCTGTCATCATTTTTCTTTCAACAAGCTGTTTAGTCATGTGTTACAGCAGCCCAAAGAAGCATTTTCTAAGTTAGCTGGATCACAGTAAAGGAATCAGAAAGAAATGCAACACAGAGGTACTAAAAGTTACATAGGAAATTAAATCATTTCCATTTTTCAGTAGACATTCATCTTGTATACCTGTCAGATTCTAATTTTTTGTTTATTTGACAAGACTCAGTGATTACAGCAACCTACATGAGCTGAGATTCAGTTCTACCTTGGGTTTTTACACAGTCCTAGTACCATGGTATCTATAATTCCTAATGAAGCGACACTGGGCACGTCTACACAAGATGTTTACTGTGCGGTGGCCTAATAACACTGCATAGTAGCGTGTCGATCAAAAATCATACTAATAACCTGCTGTGCAGTGTTATTTGGCTACTGCGCAGTAAGTGTCACGAAAAACCATGCACCGGCGCTACTGCACAGTAAATGTAGTTACTTGCGCATTCAGTTAGTACTTCATTAAGGAAGTATTAAACCAAATGTGCAGTAAGTACAGCACATTAATGAATGTGTACACGCCCGCACTATGTTTTAGGGTTGCAATGAAACAACCTTTTACAATCCAACATTACTCTGCCTCTATAGTACTGTGTGATTAGCTATGAAAATTAATAAGCTCAGTGCATCACCTCCACGTTGTAATGCCCTGACTCATCGGTTCTGCAATGTTGGTCTGCTGGTCAGGACTCAGGACAAGCCTGGAGAAAATTTTCAGTTGATTATACACTTATACAAGGTTGTGCCCCATGGTGAGATCCAGCCTTGTGGTGCCTGCCTGTAACACACTTCATCCTTATTATGAGGCTCGCTGTTACAATAAGCACTTTGTCACTGAAGGTCACTTTATCTGGACTCCAGGCCTGTACCTAATACCGTTCTAATCACTCTCTAATGACAATTCAACTTTGGAGCCTTCTCAATATTCAGTGTAGCTAATGCAGAGCATGTCACAGGGAGGACTGATTCGGAGGTATGGTTCTGAGGGAGGGAGACAAAATGGAATTGAGTCAACCCAGAGGCTATCTAGGATTATGAGGCAGATTTAATAGCATTTTTCTAATTACCAACACAGAAGTTTCTGCTGACAGACAGTAAGCGTGTGCATGGATGTGGGGAGTTTTTAGTTGGCATGAAACAGACGCTCCTAATGCATGTCTTTACAAGGACAATGCTTTAGAAAAGCCTTCTGTCTGGATAAAGAAAAATACTTGTAGACATACATAAGTGAATAAAGCAAGTTTTAGCTCTCCGGAAACTGTTTCTTTGCTAATGACATGTACCTATCTGGAAACCGAGTTTACTATGCCATGCCTTGCATCAACAGCCTCACATTATGTTCTGCTGATGACACCAGGTGATTTTCTCTTATTAACTGCTGTTGGCAAGCCAGCAAAGGTGACTTTTGGTGAGATGTGGCAATTTCACAATTCAAAGTTTTCTAACTGCTGGTTGTGCGAGAGCAATTTAAGCAGATAAAAAGGTATTAAATCAACAGTAGTCATGCACCTCAGCATTTTCAAAAATCCCACTGGGGTCCATCTGTATTTTCAGTCACCTAAAATTCTTCTGAAAACACGGCGGTGAGCCTTTCCTCATACTCTAGTATCACCATTTTACAAACAGAGATAACAGTACAGAGGCACTCTCTTACACAAAAATTACTGAGGTTTACAAAATGTTTTGCCAAGGAAAATTGCTATCTAAATCCTAAATTTTGTTATTGTGCTCAGTTGCAAGCCCGGTAGTGAAATATTCCAACGTCTCTTAGGAGTCCATGCACCTCCAATGAGTTATCGAATTAGCACAACACTTATTTGACAACTCTGGAATGCCAGGGCAACCTATTCTGATGCTGAGTAAATCTGGAGCAAGCCTGTTCATGCAAAACTGCATGAATTTACTTAGGATTCTTGGTCTGACACCAAAATCTGGAAAAGGTTTCCATCTAGCAAAGTGAGACCACAGGAAGACATTTACTTTCAAAATGCCTAAAAGAATCCTCTGCCCTGGACTGCCTGCTTGTCTGAAACACTCTGGTATGACCATTGGCTTATACAGCAGGACAATAGGAAAGTTTTGCTTATGGCACTACTGGTTTGTATGAGATGAGCCTTGTGAGGTGCAACACCTTGCTGCTGCACATTTGGCTTGGTCATTACTATGTTGTTCCTCTTTTATTTTTCTAGCTCTTCCTGAATTGATAGCACTGTTCTACTTTGGGGGGTCAAAATGGGCTCCAAAATGCTATGGACACCTATACAGTATTTTTGACAAGATGCAACTACAGATCCTCCTGTTAGGTCACTTGCATTTCTATCCACTGGCAATAGTAGGCTGGCTGGAAAAACCCATATGTCCAGCCTGGTGCTCTAATAAGCAAATATCTGTGGCCCTCATATCTGTTTTATTATAAAGGGCTTTGTCCTGCAAAAGAGGTTGCTGCCAAGCATAGAGATGTTTAATCTCCTTCGGTTACATAATTTTAAAGAACAATTCACTATTAATAATCTTTATAAAACCCCACTTTGTTTGAGATGCCATGAGAGGGACTTTTTCTTAAACAATTTGAAACTCCTCTGGATCCATCACTTCAGCATTTCATATATAAAAAAAAAAAAGTTAAGGTTTCAATTAATAATAGTCATTTAAAAATGTAAATGTCACAAAGATTACCTTAGAAAAATCTCTCAGAGAATTAAAAACATTAACAGATTCCCACAGGAAAAATTCCAGCAGAATTCAGCAACTCTCCTGTTCCCACTCCTGTCACTTGTATTTCTATCACACATAGAAGCAAAAACAAATTGCTATTAAAATATCGTCCAAACACCCCATCCCTGTTCCCCACCCCTCGCATACACACAAACCCTCCCCATGATTTAGTCTGAGATACAGACAGCCTGAGCTAAGGCTCAAAAAAACTCCTTTTCTTTTTTTCATTCATTCAGAATAGCAGAAACTTGGTGGTAAAGAGAGATTTTTCAGGTACGCCAGAAATAAATCTCTCTAGGCATGTCTGGCAAACTGATATGGGACTCAAACCAGCAGGTGTGCAGACATAATTATTACTGCAAAATATTCAGCATATCCAGGTGTGGTCGTGATCAAATATATAAAATCCCTGCTATTCTTTGGAAATTCCTAGTCTCCCAGGTGCCATCCTCCCAGAGGAAAGTAAGATTAAAGAATTAGTTAGTAAAGATATGAATAAGCTTTTTTCTTTCCCATTCTCAAGCTGCTTCTCCCTTTTTCTCACATAAAAAGCCCCTCTTTGGGGCTTTTTGCACTCTTGTCTTTACCACGTGTTGGGTCAAAAGGTAACTTTGTTCTTTTACAAATGATTTTTAAGACACCATGTTGTACGGCATATGGCTAGTTAATTGCAGACAGAGCAATGCAGCACCTGTATTCAAATGTAAAGTCCAAGAAAACTGATGGAAAGGAACTCTTTTATGAAACTCCAAATAAAACATACATCACTGACTCCACTCCCCCAATACCACTTCCAATTTTAAAATATGGTAGAGCAGACCCTGCAGTAAAAGCGTCTGAAAGGCTTCCAGGGCCAAATCTGTCCATTTTCTGCCTACAAGTAACAGCTGACAGCTGGGCTCTCACGGTAGGGCCTTTACCCCTCCTTCCCACTTTCGTCCAAGAAATAATAGTATCTCAATAGCTGCACGTAAC